GTAGTTTATGTAGGGGCTCCTCTAAGGTTGAGGGTTGATTTATGGGTTCCTCTAAGGTTTCGTGTTTATTTAGGGGTTTCTCTAAGGTTTAGGGTTTAGAGCATATTCAGGGGTTCCTCCAAGGTTTGGGGTTTTAGGGTTTCAGGGTTTAGGGTTTATTTAGGGTCGTTTTGGTGTTGCTTCAGGGTTCAGAGTTTGGGGCCTCTAATGGTTACTATAAGGATCTATCAGGGCCTATGCGGGTTACCAAGAGCGCCCCAAAAGCAACCCCCGACGTAGGATTCTCGGGTTTTGGGGGCATAGGGGTTGAGGGTGTAGGGGTTGAGTCGGTGTAGGGGTTGGGGGGTCTTCAGTGTTTGATTGAGAGAGTTTATAGAAATTACAGAGTTCATAGGGCAAGCGGGTTTAGCCATCGTCCTAGGACCCAGGAACTTTCTAAGCATTCAGCACGACCAGAGCTTCCCAGCGCATCAGGAGCTGGAGTTTTCGCAGTTGCGGAAGAATGCCCACTACGATGGCTACCAGGAGGAGAAAACCTTCTCACTATGACGATACAGGGACTCTCTCTCTCTCTCTCTTTGTCTCTGTCTCTGTCTGTCTCTCTCTCTCTCTCTCTCTGTCTCTCTGTCTCTGTGCATGGATGGCATGGCATGGTACAGTATGCCATACATTGACATACACACAGATATATAATATGCACTGATGCATGTATAGATACAGCGCTAGACAGATAGTTTTGCCAATATCCAGGTGAGCAGTCTTTTGTTGCAGGACTCGCCCTACATCAAGTCCTTCTGGGACCTTTTGTTGAACTTTGACAAGGCTCCCGAAAGTCTCTTCTTCTACGTCTTTCGCCGAAGCCTTCATGCTGTTTCAGGTTCAGAAGAAGCGGTTTCTGTCCTTCGTGACGGGTAGCGACCTCGCTCCCGTCAGATGCTGAGCATCGTTGCCGGAGTTCGCAGAACCCAGAACTCTAGGATGCCCAGTAGTACCCTTATTCCCTTTTTGTAGTCCTAGGTTCCTTATAAAGTTACCCGATACTAAAAAGAGAGGCCTTTTTATTCTTAGGTTACTGGGTATCCTAGAACTTCTCGTGCAGCAGCTGGGGCACCAAACTCTTGAAGCAACCGAGCTGCGGTAGACCCCTCTTGATTTTTCCAGAAACGTAAGGGCGCGGGATACGCGCATATTGTATGCAGCATCTGGGTGGTTGTTTCGCAAAGCCCAGTTTCCGTCCACATTGGCGAGTCGTGTGCCCCACTGCAGCAATCACCTGTAATTTAGGCAGAACCTCAGGAAATCCCAAGCCCTGAGTGGATCACATAGAGGTCTGAACAACTAGCAAAGCAATGCCATTCCATCTAGTATCCCCTCATCGCTACATAGTATAGCTACAGGCAAAAGTGTAGCAGAGCTCCAAGCGCCTGAAACGTTGAAATCCTAATGCAAACCCCAAAATTTGAAGCCCTGAAAACCCTAATGTACCCTAACAAAACCCTAATTGACCCCTAAACCCTAAACCCTAGTGTAGACTGAGAAGTAGTTGCACAAGGTGGGAGGGCTTCAAGAGCTGCAGCTCGTCATCCAGCGCAATGGAGATGTCCCGGGCTCAGAAACTCGACTCCCCTGCACACATGGGTAGTTGTCAAAATTAGGGTCCCTTTTTGGGTACCCTATATAAATATTAGGTGCCGTAGTATATTCAGGCTACCTTTAAAGGGATCTACAGGGATTCGATAAGGGTTTAGGGTTTAGGGTCTACTTGGAGGTTCATGGGTAGTTATCAGAGGGGTTATAAGTCCCCTAACATGGGTCATAAGTATGGTTGCCCTACTTATAACCCCACTTATAACTACCCATGAACCTCCAAGCAGGGTCCTGGGATTTAGGGCTTAGGAGTCTTGGGGTTTGGGGTTGAAGGGTCACACAGGGGTTTTGGGTTAGGCAACTAAATACGTAGTAATGATGTTTTAGTAATCGGGCTTCAGGGTCGAGGTTCGAGGTTGTCGGGCTTGTCGGTTTTCACTCCCAAAAGGTTCGGCTTGGTGAGCATTAGCAGCAAAGGAAGGAATATGACTCGGCTTCGGATGCTGCTGTAGGGGCCTTAATGAATACTACTACTATTGTGGGGGGTCCTTAATACGGTTATAGTATAGTACCCTCAAACCACATGCTAACTATTAGTATTATTAGTGCCCCTATATGCTCATTGAAGGAATCTTCTCATGCCAGCCGAGGAGCCTACTGAGCGACTTCCGACAGCGCACACATGCCCTGGACTCAGAGGGTTTAGGGGTTTGGAGTTTCGGGTTTAGGGTTTAGGGATTCGGGTTTATTGATTAGAGTTTAGGGTTTAGGAGAGGCTGCCAGTCCGAGCCTTGACTGGAACCTGGGAGCAGGGGCTGTCATCTTGCGGAGTCTTTATACTCAGTATTCGCATTTCTGAGGCTTCCGCTACGGGATCGTTGGCTTCTTGAAAAGTCCGGAATACTGTAGACGAGAAGGGTGTGTTGGGGCCTGTTGGGGGTCGACCTTAAACTCTCAGGGGCCTTAATAATTAGAATAGGGTTTGGGGGCCCATTATGCGCTACTTGTAATAAGGAAGCCCCAAAATAGTATTGGTAATTATTTAGTACCTTAAACTTAAGCTGTTTAAGAGCTCAAGCTTTGGAGTTCGCCTTCGGGCCTAGGCAGAACGGGGAGGAAGGGTCAAGTGAGAACGTAACGTAACAAGGACGCTCAGCCAAGCCAAGATACCCGATTAAGCACAGTTACAGTTTTGTATACGTCATCATCTAAGCCCCTGTTCTGAAGGGCAATCATGGAGTGAGGATTTTGCGGTTCGTTTCTTAATACGCCTCTGGTCGGAGTACTGGGACAAGCTATGGTTCTTATTCCCTCGCATTCGCTGCATGGCCGCGAGGCTTCAATCTGCTGCTTCTCCCAGAGTACGGTCCCGGCCCAAGGGACTGCCGGGAAAGAGCTGCTCCAATGTTAAAGCCTGAAGAGTTACCAATACTACAGTAGAAACCTGGTTTGGGTTTGGGATTACCTTATAGGATTCTATATATGAACCCCAAAAAGGAACTCCTTTGGGGCCTTAGGGTAGGAGCCTCATTAAGAAACCCTGGGCCTATACCCCCCAAAAGAGTAGGATTCCTATGCGGAAGCCAAATCAACCCAAGGTTCCTTAATCAGGTTCCTACATTATTCCTTAAGGTTCCTTAGCCTAGCATAGCTGTACCATAAGTTACTTGGAGGGTCGGGGGACTTAGTAACTGGTGATTTTAGGGACTTATAAGTACCATAACCCCAATTAGGGTCCCTTTTAGGATACTTATAAGTCTACCTACTACCTACTTACTAAGTCCCCCGACCCTCCAAGTACCTCACACCACAGTCTCCCTTTCTTAGCGAAGTCCTCCTGCGAACCCTAAGGGTCCATGTACTCATATAGTATATACATTGGCCTTAATGTAGTCCCTATATAGGTACTTTGGGGCTCATGTATCTCTATATGAGTATATGGACCCTTAGGGTGAAGCGGAGGCTCTGAAGTGAAGCTTGAGCGGATGATCACCACCGCGATGCACAATGCCGAAGGTAGGGGCCGTAGGCAGTTTCGGCTTCGGAGTTGCTATATGGGTAGTTGTCAAAATCATGGCCCCTTTTTGGGTACCCTAAATGTTAGGTGCCGCATTATAATAGGGATCCCAAAAGGGACCATAATTTTGACAACCACCCATATTGTATCAGGATTAGTATAAGGGGTTGCGGGCTTTGCAAGTAGACTACCACAACATAAGGATCCTGGCAATGGTGATATTCTGAAGGTTTTTTTCACGGCCCAGTTTCTGACACTGAAGCTTTCCGGGATGGCTTGAGGTGACTTCAGCCAAATTCAGTCCCTATGTGAGCCTTGAATTGAAAAGTCTGTCCTAAACCTTCCCTTAACCCCCAAGACCCTACCCTTCTTTGGGTTCCTTAGACGTCCTAGCATGATGTTTCTTACCTAGGTCCCCAAAGCGGTAGGTTTTCGGTGGTTCCAAAACCTGTACAAAAGCTCTGAACTCGAAACCCCCCGGACCTACAGCCCTACTCTCGGGGTCTCAACACTTGGAAATAGGCTCCGGGAGCTATCGTGCAGTATTGTACTAAGGAACCTAAGGAATGGTCTTGGTAATCATCAAAGACCAGTATATTAAGCAAATGCGCTCGGCTGCTCCCATACTATTTCCCACAAGCCCCTAAACAGTACACCGTTCTGCCTCCAGGATTTGGTTTGGAATGAGTCGCTCCCGAAGATGGTGGCGACAAGTGTCTCACATACTTTCAAGACTTCCAAACTTCCAGCTAATGTCAGAAGAAGGGTTGTTCTGAGCGTGAGGGTTTAGGGTTCCTAACGAGATCCATTGAAATTCCCTATATAACTCAAACATTATGATCTTTCCCAGAACCCTTATTCTGACTATCCAGGCCCCTGTACTGTTCGAAAAAATGCCATCAGAGGGGCTGTTCTAGATTAAATCTTAGGGTTTGGGTGTTGCAGGTTTGTGTCTACAGCATTTGCTTGTTATTTTGGTTGATTGCACTTTGGCCATACGTACCTTAAACCCTAGACCCTACACCCTAATGAAATAAACCCTGGCTTGGAGCAGCCCTCAGATGTAGCTCCCCGCCAACGGCGGGCTGAGTTTGTAACAGCATATAGCGAAGCTCCATCGGATCTTCGCGTGTCCCAAAACAGTCCGTGAAATGGCTTTTGCCATTTCGCAGCTGCACTGTCAGCAAGCCGACTTCCCTGTTTTCTTGTTAAGGAATCTCGTTTAAGTCACCATAGTCGATAAACGGGATCTACAGTAAATATTATGGCTTCCGGATGAAAAAGCAACTTTAGCTGAATCCCTTTACAGGAGCTCTTACAGAGCGCTTAAAGGAACCCAAATTTTAGCCACATTAAATTCAACAGTTTTTTACAAAACCCCAGTTTCGGATGGCAGGCCAAGTGAATTGGATGATGCCGTTCTTCGGCGTCTCCCCAGGCTCTTGAGGGCTGTTTCTTCCACCGCAGGCCTTTTCTCTGTCTCTGGGCAGGCGAATACTCATACCTCTGCCAGATCCCACAACAAGGAGTGCGCTTGTCAGCAAGGACAGCTTCTGGGACTCGCAACCCAAAGCAGACGGCTGGAAGTCTCAAAGAATATCTAATTAGGTTGCACGGGAAGCCACGTCTAACCCTTCGAGGTGTCGGTTCAAGCCTATACTAATCCCTACACAAGGGACTCTTTACGGGTTTCTCTTTACCAAGGATAAAGGGCGAGGTCAGAAGACTTTTCTTGATAGAGTAGCTAAACCAACACAATTTTACAGTTTGGTAATCTAACTGTATGGACATGAGTGAGACCATCCACTGTGCACACAACCATCAGAAGCACCACTTGATTTTAATCAAGGTAGACTCAAATGAACAACCAAGATGACCGGCAATGGCAGAAATATCACAGTTGACAACAGGGACAGATTGCTCGAAAAATATCATCGATGCCAAGACGGATAATCAACAACAAAGTGGAAATGCAAGTGCAGGAGTTGCACGGAGCCAGGCACAACTTGACCAGTGCTGACTTCACAAGGCCCATTATTCCGGTCCGGGATTCAGGGTTTGGGGTTTACGGTTTCGGGTTCAGGGTTTCTGTAGACCCTTTTGGGGCCTTTTGGTTTATATAGGTCGGCTTGAATACAGCTCAGGCTTGCCAGCATGACCGAAGGCTACTCCTGCTGCGTGCCAAGTGACAGAGAACTGCTCGTTTCCACTCTTTCTGCGCATTGCCTCTTGTCGAGTACAAGCCCAAGGCTCTGACCTTGCGGCGTTGACGCGGGAGGCCTCCGTTTCGCATGTGCAGATCTATGCATCATGCGAATACATCTGCACAAGCATCTTCCAGCAGACATGTTACGTAGACAGCATTAGACAGCCCTTCAGGCTGCGATGGGTCCTGTTCGAGGTCTGCGTCCGGAGGCAGTGGACCCTCTCCAGTCTGGCCGCAGCACACGCTCGGAAGGTTATGCTTGTAAGTGAACATGTGCTTCTGGCCGTTGTTGGCGGCGTCGTTGCTGGCTACTATTCTAGCATTCTAGCAGTCTTGCTACGGTACCCTTCTTGTCGCAGATCATGGTTTGCCGCAGCTGAATGTATACTTGCCACAAAGCCAGGCCATGGTGTCCGCCACACCGGATGGTATACGAGCCATCGTTCTGACGGATTTTCAAGCCGCGATCCACAAGGCCACGGTTCTTTTCTTCATAGAAGTTGCTAGTGAATGGGCCGCATGTTGGCACACTCTACGCACCAGTAGACCACAGCTGTGTTCGAAGACGAAACATATTCCAATGTTCCATGCAATATGAACTAGCCTGGCAATGCACTTTGGACTCTATAGATTATAGTGTATCACGGTAGCATAGTCTAGTTTATCGCACAGTGGCTCTTGTTGTACATTGTGGCATACCGGTCATATCGGCGAAGCTTGGCTGCGGGCTGTGACTTTGTTGCTTGCAGTGTCAGCGTCGCTCCACGACAGGTGAAACCAAGCCTTTCAAAGGAAGCGCTGTCGGAGTTTCACAGGCCCGACGAGATTTTTCGGTTTAGTTTGTCGTTTCATGGTCTTGCGTGGTATATTGCTGCCAACAAGAGTCTGTTGCAGTATGTCAGAGGCAGTTCTGGTGAAAACTGCTGCCACATGTGGATGCTTGCAGGTGGAATCGAGCTTTTGGCAGCAATTGATGATCGGAATCCCTTCTGAGAGCCTTTTGTTGACTCATGATTTAAGCGAAAAAGAGCGACCGTGACTGCACTATACGGGCCTAGGCAGTTACTTATAATCATAGTATATTGGGCCCCAATACCTTGTTCTAATTATTAAGGCCCCTAGACCTGACGTCGTACAGCGGTTGCGCTTCGCGCTGGCTAATGGCTCTCCAGGGCCTAAGCCCGAGCTCTGTAAACTCTAGACGAACCCTTAGCCCCTAAGCCCTTAGGCCCTTAAACCCTAAATCCTAAAGCCCTAAACCCGAAACCCCTAAATCCTAAACCCCTGAACCCTTAAACCCTAAGCATCAAGATCTGAGAGGGGCCACCTCGCCAGCACATGCAGGGCCTTCATCATGTCGCAGTGAACTGCCCGCCCCGATGGTGCCGCAGCTTCAGTCAAAACTGTAGCTGAAACAGTCAGTACGCGGCTACTGAGCCCTACAACCGTAGACTCTATCCATGTATTTTCTCTCACTGCTCCTAGCAACGATCTCACAGGCCACAAAAGCCTCAAGACCCTAATTGCTTCGAAAGATCTCGGCAAGAAGGCTCAGATGAAGCAATGATAAACTGCGGTCTGTCGTCTACTATAGGGGCTTTAAAATTACCTATACTATTTTTGGGAGTTCCTTATTATACTTAAAATATCATATACACCAAAACCCTATTCTGATTGTTAAGGCCCCTATAGTAAGCACAAGAGAGACCTAAAGGTCTTCCTTTGGCGAACCCTCATCAAAACCCGAAACCCTGAAGCTCAGAGCCCTTCTACAAGCAACTCCACCCACCACAACCTGATGTCGTACGGACGAATGACTGAGCATCCGACTATTATGGCCTTGCAGGAATGGGGTTTAATATAAGGGCCTTAAAAATTACCAGTTTTCTTCCTCAGGGCTTTTTTGTTATATTTGTAGTACAAAGGAGCCCAAAACCCTATCATAACTATTAAGGCCCCTATATTCTCCATCACCTCACATGTGCTGCCATGGCAGACACCAGAGAAGAAGCTCCTTCCGGGGAGTCTTCGGAACCCCAGCAAGTCGGGCCCAGCCCACCAGGCCTCGCCGTAGCCTCCATGGGCCTTGAGGGAGTTTGCGGGTAGAAGCGGCACGGTGCGCTCCCTAAACCCCTAAACCCCTAAACCCCTAAGCCCCAAACCCTAAACCCGAAACCCCTAAACCCTAAACCCCTAGGCCCTAAACACCCCCAACCCTAAACCCCTAAACCCTGAACCCTAAACCCCAAAAGGTGAGCCGGTGTTCTGGGGCCAGAAGTGGCATGAGGGCGGCTTCGAGAAGAATGTCGCTTGTCCTTGAAGATGAGGTTTGTCAGCCCTGCACCTAAACATACCTACAGTCCCCATTGCATCTCTTGCTTGTGGTTTAACCAAATACATAATAAGGATTCTATAGGGTAACCCCCATAAAAGAACTACAAGGGAGACTACAGGTAGGGGCTTGAATAATTACCTATACTAGTTTGGGGGCTCCTTGCTATAAGTTATAGTATAAGGGGCCCCAAAGCCCTATCCGAATTATTCAGGCCCCTATACTACACCCCGAGACCCTAAACCTTACCTGTTCCAGGATCAACACACATTAAATAAAAAAATACCTGTAGCCGAAAAATCCTACTGTACCTGTTTAGGGTTCCTTGGTATGGTTTCTATATATACTTGTTCTAATTCCCTGAAAACGGGTAGATTGTTTAGTCCATAGGTAGCAACCCTAGAAGACCCAGACTCTAGACCCTTAAACCCGAATGTAGCGGTCCAAATTATGGGGGGAAAAACTTTAATTAAAAAAAGCAAGGAAACCGCCTAAACCCTATTCAAGTTAAGGCCCTTATATTACAGCCTTATAATAGCCCTTATGGACCCCTTTCAGGGAACCCTATTCTACGTATTGAAGCCCCTACATTACCCCTCTGCTCGAAGTCTGGCAGACGCGGGTTTGGAGCTTGGTGCCAACCTTGAGCCTTAAACGGAACCCCTAAAAGCTGAAACCCCTGAAAGGCGCCCTAAACCCTAAACTCCTTAACATCAGCTGAGGTTATTCACTTCGACAAGACTGCCAAGGTCAGCAGACTGATATATAGGGGCTTAAATAAGTCGCTGTGCTATTTTAGGGGCTCCTTGTTGTAATTGTGTGGAGCCCCCCAATCCTACGCTAGTTATTAAAACCCCTATTTATACAATCATATTACATGCATGTGAAAGTTGACCCACAAAGCGACTGCGTGACGTTGATTGCCTTCAGAATGATTCCAACATCCTGTGCGCCGCGTTTAGGGAACATGCACAAGGGGTACGCTCCATCATGGCCGCGCTGCGCACAACCAAGCATCTCAAGTAGCACGACTTGAAGCACAGCGGTTCTTGCGAGTGTCTTTGAGTCTGTGGATGCGCGTGACCGGCAGGTCATGCGAGATATCTTTGAGGCAACTCAAGGATTTCAGAAAGAGCTTGGAACCCGCCGGCACCTTTGCTTGCTTCTTCCATCCGGTTTGCTGGCGCGCACGATGACGCTAGAGTGCTTGGCTGAGGCTATACGTTCCTGGACATAGCATGCGCGTGCCCAGGCTGCATTCAGGCTAAATGGGAGTTTCCGAAAATAGGGGATCCTAATATGGTAGCCCTAAATAGTAGGATCCTTATTCTAAGGACCCCAAAATAAGGTACCCCCTATTTTCGGAAACTCCCAAATCTGTAAGACGAGATCTCACTTTGTGCCATAGCCCCGTCCCCGATGCCGGCATCCTGAAACAGAGAGTCCGCCAAAAATTCCTTAGGAAGATGGGATCAGCACTCCGAAACCTATAACCAACCCTGTGATCAGCCCTGAACCTTAAAAACCCTTTGAACCCTAAACCCCTAAACCCCTAAGCCCCTAAACTCCTAAGCCCCTAAACCCCTAAGCCCCTAAAGCCCCTAAACCCCCACCCCCCTAGGCCCCTACCCCCCTAAAGCCCCGAAGCCCCAAACCGCTTTGCCTGCCAAGGCCGGGCGGCTTCTCCAGGTTCATGTGCAGTGACCCACGCTGCGAGAGGCGGCGCTTGCACCCTGTGGCGGGGCGGGATGGGAGTCGTAAGAATCAGAGGTCCCACTTCCGGGGGGGATCCTGAAAAATAATGAGCATGTTGTTTCAGAGTTTTCTGCTAGGTTCCTTCGAAATTTCTCCTGTGGTTGCTGTGTTTTTTGTGTGTCCGTACTGTGATAATGAGTAGGAGGAGCAGGCGAGCGGAGCACGACGGCTGTTTCTGTCATGTAGCAAATAAGCACACATGCAACATATCATTAGCAAAAGAATGAGAATGAAGATGATGAAGAAGACGGCGATGATGAATAATGTGATGATGGTGATAGTGATGATAATGCTGGTGATACTCATAAGCATACGCCTTACATGCATGCATACATGCATACTTATGCACGCACATGTACGGACTTAGGGTTTCACGAGCTCGCATGAGGGCCTTTTTTTTGGAGGTAGGCCCTGCGGCAACCCCGAGAGTCTCACAAAAGGTGAATCGCTTTCTGGCAATACCCGTGAACGGTTTTTCACTTGCCCAAACGGATCGTCTAAAGCTCCAACCTCCCCGGGATGGCCCCACTATAGCGGCCTAACTAGTTGCCTATACTCTTTTTAGTTGGGGGGAGGGTCCAAAACCCCATTCTAATTCTTAAGGCCCTTATATTGCAAGCCCCGGGTCCGAACTCCAGGATCATGCAAGACCTAGGCTCTAAAGTCTCTGAAGCCTTGATCCAAAATTCGAAGCCTCAGATCTGCATCAGGGGCTGGGGCATCAGCCTGCCTGTCACGGAGGGCGGCTTCCGACTGCTCTTTACCTGGAGCACGCCCGACGAAAGAAAGTTCCAGGCCGAGTGAGTGAGGATGTGGGATTTCAGGGACTGACGGCATGGTTTTGGGGTACATTCCCAGGGCGAGAAACGGATATTTCCTGACCGGGAAAACATTGAAACCATAAACCCTAACCCCAATTTATGGGGTTCAAACCTCAAACTACAATCCAACACGAACCGCCAAACGCCAAGCAATACCTGGTGAGGGAAGTGCAGCAAGTGCGCTTTTTGTCTGCCGACACAGGTGAAGTTCAGGGATATGCTGACTCTCGAGCCAGAAGATTGTAAGGCTCTTACAGCTTTGTGATGCGGCCTTGATTCATCCTTTCGCAATGTCAACGCATGACGGCAGCAGATGTCCAGAACATCTGCCAACACTTCATACGGGTGGTTGTCCAAATTAGGATCCCTTTTTGGGTCCTTATTATAATACGGCGCCAAATATTTAGGGTACCCAAAACGGGACCATAATTTTGACAACCACCCATACAGCATGGCTAGCAGTGCCACGTGTACACCTCCCAGATCACCTCCCTGAACTGTCTAGACCGCATAGGTGTTCATGCCCCTGTCAAACCCGGCACCCTGGCAGAGTGATGAAAACCAGTGACAGACGCAGTCATCGACGATGAAGATGGTGATGATGTTGATGGTGATGGCAAAGATCAGGATGTTGATGTTGACGGCAGTGGCGATACTAATGGTGGTAATGGTGTTAAGAGTAGTACTACAGTAGTAGTAGTAGTAGTAGTAGTAGTAGTAGTAGTAGTAGTAGTAGTAGTAGTAGTTGTTGTTGTTGTCGTCGTGTCGTGGTCGCAAGCAGCAGGAGCACGAGCAGGAAGCGGAGGAACCAGAACCAATAGCAGGAGCATGGCTTACATTCTGCTCACAGTGTCGCTCACGATTTCTAGGTCTCCTGCCGACCCTGAACCCGAAACCCAGTGCCACGCTGCTTCTTCGATTGGCATCCCATGGAGCCGGAGTTGGGAATTTGCGAAAACAGGGGACCCCAATATAGCAGCCTAAATTATAAGATCCTTACTATAAGGACCCCATAACAAGGTACCCCTCAGTTTCTGAAACTCCCAGTTGCCAAGGCTGTGAGCAC